CCAAGGGGCGGTGGCCACCGGCGGCAGTGGCAGCGGCCAGCTGGCATTGATGGTGGTAGGTGGCAGCAAGGGGAGAAGAAAAAATAAAATTAAAATAAGGCCAAAATACTGATTTTTGGACCTTTTTTTGTATTTTTTTGGTAGGGTCACATAACAGCCCTTGAATCAAAATGTTACGAATGGTTGAGATTCAATCTTGACCATTGCCATTGGACTGAGTCTAAAATTGATTGGAATATCAGAATTGGGTCTAAATCAACCCAAATCAATCAACATTGGGTCATTTGGGCAAATTAAAAAAAATAAAACAAACAAAGACAATCACCCCAAAATATAAAAATACAAAATAAGAATAGAAGAAAATACCCTACTCTATATTGTAGGATTAAAATAAGCACGTCAAAAATTAGGTGTTCACAGCATGCCCCTCTTTGCTTGGAGACATGAAGAGTTTTCAAGCAAAGAAAGTGAACGAAGTGGCTAATTTTTTACTGATTCAAATTCTGTTGAAGCCATTTTGAAAAAGATGACCCAACCTTGCTTCATAGGTTGCCTACATATCCTTGATTAAAAGGAAATCAGGTCAGTGTAGTTCAAGAAATTTTGATAGCCGAAACTATCAGAAATTGTGGTCAAACGATTGCTTCTTATTGCTTGCCATCATCTACTGTCTATAGTTACATAAAGAAAAGAGTTGGAGAACTCCATTTCTCTACAGTATAGGAGTTATAAGATCCCTACTTGATGTTTTTTCTTAGGGTCTTGTCTTGATCTTCGACTTTTTCTGTGCGTTATCTCTGAGATTGATCTTGATGCTCTCTTGGCGGCTTGTGGATCATTCTCAGGTGCATGTTTTAACTTGAGTTGGGAGTTGAAACTCAAAACTCAAGATCACAAAATGAAGAACCCGAATAGGATGTGTTTCTTTTTAGGAAAAGAAAGATATGAAAATCTTTAACTAGGACGTATAATCATAGAAAGAGAAGGAGCTTATTGCCCTGAGAGTTTCAAATATGACGTATTGTCTTTGTGGGTTGACCTAAGATTGGGTGTATTACCCAAAAATGTGAATATGGTGCGTATAACCCATTAATGTTAGTGCGTATTGCCCAGAATATGCATTTGCTGCGTATTTCCCATAAATAGAGAATTGATGTGTATTTCATGTGAAAAAGGACTGGTCCGCATTGCACATGAAAGAAAGACTAGTATGTATTGCACATGAATGCAATATCGATGCGTATTGCATGGGATTTGGATTGGTGTGTCTTCCTCATGAAAGAAAGACTGCTGCATTTTGCACGTAAATAAAGGTCGAGTGCGTATTTGCACGGAATTCAGATTGGTGCCTATTGCACAGAATTCAGACTGGCATATATTGTACGGAATTCAGACTGATGCGTATTGCATATGAATAGAAAGACTGGTGCATTTTGTACATGAATGCAGAATGGTGCGTATTGCACATGAATAAAGGAGGGGTGCACATCGCACTGAATTCAGACTGGTGTGTATTGCCCGAAGCTCTCGAATTGAGAGGCAAGAATGTGAATAACATGAGATGAAACAACAAACATGTGAAGATTTTGGAGAACTTTCATTTTGTTATGTTTCATTTTTGACTTGTAATCCCACATTTTCTTTTGTTCCTGTGTTGAGCAAAAGAAAGAGAAAATTATTAGTTTAAAGTAGTGGTTGGTTTGTGGCCTTGATGCTTTGACGACTTGACCATACTCCTTACCAATATCTCCAACTCTACTCCAAATCCTTGGTTGAACAACCTTTGAAGCTTCCTCTTTGTTAATTCAGGGGCCTTGACCTTTGGTACTACCAAATATCATGGTGCGACTGATGTCCCAAAGAATGAATTCTCCTTTAGAATTTTTTTTCATGACTTGAGAGACTATATGTCACGACCCAGACCGTCGTGATTAGCACCCACACTAACTATCCAGTAGGAGAACCACTACTACAACCAAACTAAGCAACTAAAATAATACTAAGGAAATTAAGTTACGGAAACAAGTTAATTAACTAACAAATGTGGAAATTTAATACCTAGAACTTGAAAGTCAATGTACCAAAACATCTAAACAAAAGATCCATGTCTAAACAAGAAGGGATGCAACCCCAACTAATGAACTAACCAACTAACTAGAATAGGTATCTCAATCCAGAAATGATGGACATAGACGAAAGAGAATCCCATGGCAGCCCGGAAGAATTGCCTCACCCTTGAATTCGACGCGATGATCACTGATCTTCGAAGCGAGGTCTATCAATAGTCGTGTGAAGATGCCCTATACTCAACAAAAATAAGAGCAAGTGCAGAATCAGTACACAACCACAGTGTACTGGTAGGATCACACGGCTATCCTACTAGTGCAACATAAATAAGTCAAACAACATTATAATCACATGCATAATATATCAATATATACAACATTATCAACAACCAACAACTTCACATGTTATAGCACATCATTGGTCCTCTCACGGAACCCAAACCCAAAAAATTAGCTTACCGAAACGTGGCAATCCGATCCTATATATACCGGAACGTGGGAACCGATCCCATAATTATGCCGAAACGTGGCAACTGATCCAATAGTTATGCCGGAACGTGGCAACCGATCCCATTCACATACCACAATCACAATCACAATCACAATCACAATCACAAGTACATCATCAAGATCAAACAAACAATTCATGATTTCATGGCATTCATCAATTATCTATCTCATTTACAACAAGTGTGATCAACATTGCAAAATTCATACAGATATACATATCATAATGAAGCAAGAACAAGCATACACTACACAATCATAGAATCACAACCATCACCTACCTCAAAACAAGGTTGAAACTAAGAAACTTGATTCTTCCCTTTCCAAATTCGTTCCGCTTGTTCGTGGTCTACAAACAAGCACAATAACACGGGAATCAACAATACATCGCTAATTACCTGAAACTATAATAATTCTAGGAACCCTAGATCAAACCCATGATCCCAATCATCCAAACTAGGGTTGTTTCCACCGTATAATCTATATCAAAACCTTCCCCTCTTAATATTCACCCATTTAATTACATTCTACGGATCAAAAAATGAATTCGGGGAGTGAAAAGCATACCTTTAGCCTCAAGAATGGTGAAAAACGAGTAGGAATCGCTTGGGGGTCGTTCCTTAGATCTAAAATTTGAAAAATGCCAAATAAGGTCATTTAGGGGTTTATTAATGACATTATGTCGCGTCTGGCCCGCCAGAGCAGCCCTCATCTCGCTGTAGCAACGGGGCCAGAGCGGCATAAAGTCCCACCAGAGCGGCACCTTTGAACCAGTGACCTCTTCATCTTTTATTTTTGATTTTAAGTCCTGTCGCACCAGCCACAATGGCCACCATCCCGCCAGAGCAGCAGAGACGCCCACCAGAGCAACAATTTCGAGACACAATGCTATTTTAAAGAATTCCAAACACCATTTCACAACGCACCTCTAACCCACTACACTCAGAAATTACCCTTCACACTAAGATCGATTTCCGGAGATCTACTTACACAAATTCAATTCTGTAAAGTCAAAAGGATTCATAAACGAGTTATCTAACAACTACTGCACTTAAAACCAAAAACAACTCACCCGATTGTTACCAGATTTCCCCATACCTCATGGACTCCGATTTCATCCAAATTTGGACAAGGTTGAAAAAATACAAATACTATGAAAAAGTTTTTTCGGCCCCAATTTTTCCCTGTTGGCATTTCTATAACGACGGAACCCGATCGTTACACTATATCATGTTCCTTCACGATTTTTCAGTGAAGATCTGATACGTTTTTAGTCCTTGATTGATAGCATTTCAACTTGGATACTCAACTTTACTTTTGGGAAACCGCAGTAAGCTTTGCAATCTTTCACCTTATTTTGTCAAGGGATTATATCGAAAAGACTAGAAAAATATCAGACTTAAGTGTGTGAAAGATTGGATCAAGAAAGACTATAAACTTAAGGAAGGGAATTCCCTATTGAAGAAAATAAGAAAGAGAACTTATCTAGAGGCATATGTCAACTTTGAGTGAACCATGACATGCACTTTGGACTTGACCCTTGATCCGTTTGAGTTGTCTAGTTCTCAAGATCTTAACCATTATCAATTTAAAATTGATCTATTTATCCTTGATGTAGAGGTGTCGAGAAATGGTGATCTTTGCAGATTTCTTCCAAGTAGTCATTTTCATGATGTTCTCTCCTTTTATATTAAGCTGCCCGCAAGGGTTTTCACTGTTAAGATATTCTCTCTTGTCGTCTTATGGTGCCTATAAAGGTTTTCACCGATGAAACTCTTTTTTTTTCTTTTTTTATTACTCAACAATGTTGTCTCCGATGATCAATTGTCTGTGCAAGACACATTGAATCTATCATTCTTAGAGTTGGTCAAAATGTCGGTTGCTAGAATAGAATCATAAACTGAATTACAATTTGACACTATTCTATAAAATATAGAAAGAAAAAATAAAAAAAATGCCCAGTTTCATATGAATACTAGAATATTGATTTTTTTTATGGTATAACCGAACCCCGAAGGGTTGCGTATGTATCCTTTCGGAATCAGGTCAAACATAGTTCAAATTTCAAAAAGAGGATTTTGGTTTATTTTTTGTTAAAAAAAGAGGTGCCTTTGTTCTACCAACCATAAACTTGTCACAGTATCTTAGAACACATTAGATGTAGTATATTTTGACTACGTCCACATTAACAATTATGCCTGTGATTTTTCCCTCCACATTAGTAAGGTGCAAGGCTCATTTGGACAACACTTCATTGATAAGATATGGACCTTGCCAATTTGAGGCAAACTTTCCCTTGGCTTCTTCTTGGTGTGGGAGAATGCATTTTAAGACCAGTTGACTTACTTCAAAGTGTCTTGGGTGCACCTTTTTGTTGTATGCATGAGCCATCCTTTTGCTGATAAAGCTGACCAAAATAGACGACCGTCAATCGTTTCTATCTATTAATGTGAGTTGCTCTAGTCGAGTTTTGACCCATTCAGTATCTTCAATTTCAGCCTCGACAATAATTTGAAGAAATGGAATTTCGACTTCTGTTGGTATCACAACCTTAGTCCCATACACCAGCAAATAAAGAGTTGCACCAATCGAGGTGCGCACTGTTGTGCGATATCCTAAAAGTGCAAAAGGCAACTTCTCATGCCATTGTCTGGTGCCTTGAACCATCCTCCTGAGAATCTTTTTGATATTCTTGTTGGCAGCCTCCACAACTCCGTTTGTTTTTGGTCGGTATGGAGTAGAATTGTGATGTAGAATTTTGAACTGCTCACATACCTCCTTCATCAAATTGTTATTAAAGTTTGCAGCATTATCTGTGATGACAATTCTTGGGATACCAAAATCACAAATGATATTTGAATGGACAAAATCTACGACTGCCTTCTTAGTGACTGCCTTGAAAGTGATTGCCTCCATCCATTTGGTAAAGTAATAAATTGCGACCAAAATGAATTGATGTCCATTAGAAGCTTTTGAATCAATTTGTCCGATAACATCCATTCCCCATGCAACAAAGGGCCAAGGAGCGGCCATGGGGTGCAACTCTGAAGGAGGTGAATGAATGAGATTACCATGAATTTGACACTAATGACATTTTTTCACTAAGCGAAAGCAATCCCGTTCCATGGTAAGCCAGTGATATCCTGCTCAGAGTATCTTTTTCACAAGGGCATATCCATTCATGTGTGGTCCACATACACCAACATATACTTCATTCATGATCTTCTCGGCTTCTTCAGTATCCACACATCTCAAGAAGTTCAGATCCGGGATTAGTTTACATAAAATTTCCCCACTAAAAAAGAAACCACTAGGCATACGTCTAATAGTTCTTTTTTGGCTTCCATTGGCATGCTCAGGACATCTCCCTATCTTCAAAAATTACTTGATGTTTAGGTACCGTGGGTCACCATATGGTTCTGCTTCCACTGTATTACAATAGCCATGTTGGTCCTGAACTTGAATCTCCAAGGGAGTGATGTAAGTGTTTCCAGGATATGGAAGCATTGAGGCCAAAGTAGCCAAGGCATTTGCTAATCATTATGAAACTTGGGGATGTATCTAAACTCAATGGACCTGAACCTTTTCCTAAGATCTTCCACACATTGTTTGTATGGAAGATGCTTGAGGTCTCGAGTTTTCCATCCGCCTTGAGCTTGCCGAATAAGCAAATCAGAATCTCCCAACACAATCAATTCTTGCACACCCAAATATATTGCCTTATTTAGACCCATGATGCAAGTTTCATACTCTATTGTGTTATTTGTACAGAAGAAACGAAGTCGAGTTGATGCTGCCCTGTGGGCAATATGACAATTTCCCCAATCCTTGTGCCTTTTGTGTTGATTGCTCCATCAAAGTACTATTGCCAGGCCTGATTTCCATCTGAACCTACATCTTCAATTGTGTTAATCTCTTCATCTAGAAAATATGTAAACAATGGTTCGTAGTCGCCATCGATTGGATTCTCTGCCAAGTTATCTGCCAAAGATTGGGCTTTCATTTTTGTTCGAGTGACATAAATAATGTCAAATTCAGTGAGCATAATATGCCATTTTGCGAGTCTTCGAGTAGACATTGGCTTCTGAATCATGTACTTCAAAGGATCCATTCTAGATATGAGGTAAGTTGTGTAGGACAAAAGGTAATGCCTTAACTTTTAAGCTACCCAAGTCAGGGCACAACATGTCCTTCCCAAGAGGGTGTACTTCACCTCATAACTAGTGAATTTATTGCTCAAGTAGTACATAGCTTGATCCTTCTTGCCTATGGAATCGTGTTGACCGAGAACACACCCAAAGGAATTATCTGTCACTGAAAGATATAGAAAGAGAGGCTTATCAGGTTCAGGCGGGACCAATACGGGAGTGTTGGACAAATATTCCTTGATTTTTTTCAAAAGCTTGTTGACAATCCCCCATCCATCAGACAACATCATTTTTAAAACTCTTAAAATGGGCTCACAAGTGGTTGCGAGTTGAGCAATAAACCTGCTGATATAGTTCAATCTCCCAAGTAGACTCATGACTTCGGTCTTATTTTCCAGGGGTGGCAAATCTCGAATGGACTTTATTTTGGAAGGATCCAATTCGATTCCCCTTCTACTGACAATAAAATCCAGAAGTTTTCCCGACGGAACTCCAAATGCACATTTTGCTGGATTAGGCTTGAGATCTTATCTTCGCACTCTTTCAAGGAATTTCCTCAGATCTTGCACATGGTCAGCCTGCGTTTTAGACTTGATGATTATGTCATCGACATATATTTCAATTTATTTATGTATCATATCATGAAACATGCTGGTCATTGCCCTCATGTAAGTTGACCCAGCATTTTTAAGACCGAATGACATGAGTCTACTTGGGAGATTGAATTTCGTGTTTGGCACAATTATCAACTAGAATGTGGATATTGGGCAAAGGAAAGTTGTCTTTTGGACTAGCTTTGTTCAAATCCCGATAGTCAACACAAACTATTATCTTTCCATCCTTTTTTGGAATAGGAACAATATTTTCCAACCAAGTAGTGTACCGAATGGCTTGGATCACACTTGCATTTAGCTGTTTCATGATTTCTTCCTTGATTTTTTCACTCACGTTCGGTTTGAATTTTCTTCTTTTCTGTTGGACGGGTGGAAAATCAGGATGAGTGGGCAACTTATGAACCACTAAATCGACACTCAAACTTGGCATGTCGTCATAGGACCAGGCAAACACATCTTTGTATTAAAACAAAAGATGTATTATGGTAACCGTAATTTCCTGCTTGACATGAAAGCTTATTTTTATTTCTTTAACTTCCTCAACACTTCCCAAATTGATCGCCTCGGTTTCACTAAGATTAGGCTTAGGGTTTTGCTCAAACTGTTCTAGTTCCCTATTAATTTCCCTAAAAGCCTCTCATTCACCATATGGAACCTCTTTACTCGGTGATTCAAGAATAAACAACTCTTTGAGATCTAGGAGTGAATTCCGCATGCATGTCATATTATCAAAGCCGGCATATACAGAACTGAAAAAATGGAGAATAAGAATTAGGTGAGGGGAAAAGACAAAGATTTACTATGAAATTGGAATTTCATTTCATTGAAATGGAAGAAAGGATAGAAGGGTTGACACGAATACAATACATTTTCAAATATTTGGATCACAACTTTGACAACAACAAAATACAAAAGAGTAGCAAAACAAATTACCAAGACTCCTTTCTTATGGGGAAAGGAGCGGCTTCCCAATTGTTTAGCTCAACACCCGAGCCCACGAGCTGCACATCGGCATGACTTGTACCTTTAGCAACTTGGACCATGTTTACTTCATAAAACAACTGACTGAGATCCTTAATAACTTCTTCAATGTATTCATGAGTAAAGGAAGCTTCCAATTCTGGACCTTGAGGGTTGATAAAGGAATGAGAAATATGGGGAATCGGTTGTGGCAGCACCCAATCAATCCTTTTGTAGTTCTTAGCCTTATCTCCATTTCTCTTGGTTTGGTTGTATCTGAGGCCAGATGTGCCTTGGTTTCCTAAAAGAGTAATGGGATCCACGATTCCTTGCAAACATAGTCCCAAACCTTTACCAGGTTGATAACCATATTTGAGAATTGTCGTTGCTACCATTGAAGAAGAAGAAAAGAGACATGGTTGGATGATGGGGTCTCCTTCTTTAAAGCAATCGATTGATACAGCCTCAAAAGACTAGTAAACAACGAAATCACATCTTTCTTTTGCCTCAATGTATGGAATGTATGGATCTTTGTAAATAGGTAAATCACCTTCCCAATGCACAATGATTTCCTGATGGACGTATTCAAACTTACCAACTTGATATAGAGTTGATGTGACTACCCGAGCCATGATAATCCATGGACTTCCCAATAGAAAATTATAAGATGTGTCCATGTCCATTACTTGGAACACAATCATAAACTCTACCGGTCCAATTGTCATGTTTAACTTGATTTCACCAATGGTATCCTGCCTTGAGCCGTCATAAGCTTGAACAAATACATTGCTGGGGCGAATTCTGTCAGGGTTAATTTTCAAGCTTTGCAGCGTAGAGAGAGGACATATTTCTACCCCTGATCCCCCATCTATCATGACCCTCTTTACATAGTACCCTTCACATTTCACTGTAAGAAGCAAAGCTCTGTTATGTCTAGCTCCCTCCGTGGGCAACTCATCATCAATGAAAGTGATGGTGTTCGACTCAAAGATGCGCTTGGCCATTTTCTCTAACTGATTTACCGTGGTCTCCTTTGATACATGTGTTTCATTCAAAATCTTATTCAACACACGACGATGTTCTTCACAGTGCACGAGTAGAGACAACAGTGAAATCTGTGCAGGGGTTTTCTTCAATTGTTCCACAACAGAGTAATCTGGAACCTTAATCTTTTTTAAAAACTCTTCTGCTTCTTCCTGTGTAATTGCTTTCTTCAGTGGTACTTGGATATTTTGAGCCATCTTCCTTTTTCCTAATTCTTCTAGAGAATAACATCTTCTGGAGCGTGTCAACCCTCCTGCTTCATCAACCTCTTCAACAATCTCCTTTCCTTAATAAACCACATCGATTTTGTTATCGTTCCAAGGAACAACCTTTGAATCAGTCAGTGGAAACTGCTGGATAGGCTTAACAAAGATAGGTTCTTTCAAGTTTACCAAGCAACTTTGGTCCTGTTGTGTTAATGAAAAACATTTTGATATATACAACTTTGGCATACCCGCTCGACTTTCAATCCCCTTCAAAAACCCCAACACGCACTAAACTTTTGTATCAAGATTGACACGTTCCACACTCAAAGATGCAACTGGTTCTGAACTCCTTAACGACATGTCTTCCTCTTCGATCTTCCTAAACATCTTTCCCATTTTGCCAAGAAGTTCGTACTCCTGATCATCGCAGATCATACCAAGTAAATTGTTTTGAGCTGGAAGTGGGTTAATAGTTACATTGGGAGTGTTTTGATCATCCGTCACAACGACCATTCCATGACCAATTAGCTTTTCTATCGCTCCCTTCAAGGTCCAACAATTATCAGTGTTGTGTCCTGGGGCCACTGAATGATACTCACATCTTTCATTGGCCTAGAAATTTGGAGCAGTTGGATTCAAACGATGTGGTGGGATAGACTCAATCATTCCTATCTTCCTTAACTTTTGAAACAAGCTGGAATATGACTCTCCCAATGGAGTGAACTTCATTTTCTGTACCTACTCTTGAGCATAATATTGCGTAGGAGGAGGGTTTTAAGGGACCTGATATGTTGGTCATTATACGTGAAGGTTTCCTTGAGTTGGGGCCTGAAAATGTGGGCGATTGGGAGAATACACATATGACTGAGCATTGAAGACCGTGTATGGAGATATTGGATATTGAGGGACATAAGGATAGTAATGCTAAGGAAAGCTTGATTGTCCCTGAACTGGTGGGTAAGGACAATTAGAATTCCTTTGAGCACCCCTTGACCCTAACATTAGCGAAGAAACTTCCTCTTTCCTTTTACGATTTCCTTAACTGCCTGAACCACCCTGAA